CTTTATTTCTGTTTGAGTTTCTCCCATTGCTGGTTGTCTCTCTGGCGGGAACCACTGAGATCTGGTGGACAGGCATGGTACAGGAAACGGAACCTTCTGGGTTTTCGGATTCTGTGAGACCACTGAGGCAGCATTCACGTGTAGCTTCTCACATCATTTTGTCACGATGTCCACTTCCATTCTGGCGAACAAGAAAGGAACGACGACGACAGACAAAGAAAAACACTGGTCAAAAAACCATAAGGCTTAATCATAGGCTTTAAAAGAGCGGAAACGTCTCACTTCTCGTGTTCTAACAGGAAAAAAAAAAAAAAACAATCAACAGGTGGGCCAGAGAATGTCCCCGTGACACAGCAGACTTAGCTTAGCACTGGTCATAATGAGGGTGAGCCCTTCTGCCAGATTTTCATCCCATCCCACCACCCCCCACCAACGCCCTCCCCCCTCCACAGGCGGTGTGAGCGTCTAATAGCTGCACCATGGCAACGGCGGGATTTTGTGGCGGGTCTTTATCATTAGCATTAGCGTTAGCTGCAGCATATATCCCTTGTGCCGCTTGTCAGGCACGGGCTGGGAGGCAGTGGCATGCTCACATGGCCGATGCGCGGGAGGCTAGAAGGGCTTAGCGCTTATTTTAAACACAAATCCCATCCTTCTCGGAGAGGGCCAGATAGACCGCTGTGTGTGGCTCTCGTATCTAATCTGATTACGAGAGAGGAAGGACCTCCTAAAACTCCACCAGCAGACCCCGCCCCACCTTCCCACCCCTCAGCCCCCAACAACAGTCCAAAGAGAGAGGCGGGGTTATGATCAACCGGTGTGGCTCTGAATGAACCAATCAGAACATCACAGCTACAAGTTACTTTGCACATATGTAGGTATGCTGGTGCCACCAGTCTCAGCAAGTCATATGCAATCAAGAGATCTCATCAAAACACTCACACAAATGAATTTTATTATGTCTGTCTCTGTTGTGTGTGTGTGTGTGTGTGTGTGTGTGTGTGTGTGTGTGTGTTTGTGTGTGCATGGTTATTTTTTCCCCATACTCTCCTGTAGCACAGATCACCAACATGTTACAAAACAGCAGTGACTAGCACTTACACAGCTAAACGTTACATATACGCGTGTCTAAGTCACTTCCTTAATACTTGGTTATTTGCTACTCAATGGATTACTACATACGTAAACTCAGCTTGACCTCTTACTGCACGTAACAAACATGTTACAAAAGCTGGCCCACCAGCAAGCCATTCTGAAAAAAGAAAAAAAAAACATGTTGGCGCTATAGTTAGCTACAGTCCCCTAGCTTCCACCAGCTGACATTTTATCTAAGACAGTGTAGCACACTGGAACTGGATGACCGGAACTGCCAGTCCCCACAAAGGGAATGAGCCGCCCACCTGTTTAAATGACTGAGAAACCTGACAGAGTGCTCTTATTGTTGTTGATGGCTGCTCATTTCCTCGCAGCCCCAGCCCATAAAAAACAAAATACAATATAATGGTCATGACTGCTGCCACTGCCAAACAGGGCAGTCTCCATCCCCTATGAACCCTCTTTCCATTTCGCTATAATCTATAGCTGGCTCCTTTAAAAAAAGTCCCATAATGCTCCTTTGTGTCTTTTATTGAGCCAACTTCTCATGCAGCCATCATATCTTTGACATTTCATGAGAAGGTTTGTTAAGTACGTCCATAAACTCCCTCAGCCCCTAAGAAAGAATGAGGCGTAGTTAGTGATATTAATGTTCCCGTGTAATTGTCAGTAATTTAGAAATGTCCTCGGGGACAGTACGCGGTGTCCTCAGATTTGTGTGAAAATCCGTGTGGGAAGAGAACCAAAATTTGTTTCTTTCCCCACGACGAAAGCATTGTATGTTTAGTGAAAACAGACAAAGCTCTATTAACCGAATGACAGCTGTACAAATGTTCCACAAACTTGATGAATTAATTAAACTTCTGAAAGCTTAAGCTACAGAGTGTACTCAAGACAGCTGAATTTGTATTAACAGTTTCCTCTGTCTTTTATTCCACTTTCAAGTGACACTCAACATCGTACTGAAATCCATGTCATCTGACGCCCATTCTAAACCACAACTTTGGTTGAGCTTGTGATGAGGGCGTGGAATTTAATAAAAACCTAAATTAAAGCTAATTTAAAATGGGAGGAGCAACCATATAGGATCAGTGATTCAATGATTTTCGACCAAGAAAAAAAAAATCAGTTGCAGAGAGGAAAACATTTTTGATTGGTTTAAAAAAGTCAATGACTGACAGTTGAGTCTAGCTCCATCCGAACAGTGTTCATCAAATTTTCATTTTGAAAATTTCAACCATCACAAGGTTCAGCCACTTATTCTATTGGCTCTCCGGCACTCTTTAGTGGGAATACAGGTTGATATGCAATGCACACGCAGCCTGCAAAACAGAGTGCAAATAAATAAACCACTTGCAGGTTATGTCAGATTACATAGGCATCGGTTATTCAATCAACCAGTCAATTCCATTTGATTAAATCTGCATTGCATTGTCACTGTTGAAATAGGAATACATAAAAAGACCCATACTCCAAAACAACACAGACACGGCTCCATCCATTACAGACAGAGGAAAATTAAAACAAGAGCATTTTACGGCCTTCCTAGGTGTACTTTAAAGCCATAAAATATGTTTTACTTCCCTGCATTGAAAGCAAATAAAGCCATAGCATTAATTCTCCTTGAATGCAGATCTTTGTCTCTTTCTGCATTGAGCCTACACTTCAGATAAATACACCCCATGCCTCTATTCTCTTTGTACCGGGCCAGAGGCCCACGCTGGTAAATCTTTTAGTCACTGTGGCACCACAGTAACTCATAACAACATTTTCTGAGTGGTACATTCAAGTCGAGCTGCTTGGTCTCCGATCGCAGAGGGTGAAGGCCAAAGAGATACAGAGCAGGGAAAGAAAGAGATGTACAAAAGGAAGATCTAAATTTGAGGCTACGGCCAGCAGGGGAAGTCAAAGCGGATGAAAGATGTCTGCGTGTTGGAAGCATCCACCCTGTGGTAGACAGGTGAGGGCCTCGTTTCTCTGCAGTGCACTGGGGCTTGACTGATCCCATTCCAGAACCACAAGCACTGGCCTGAGAAACCCTGTCTGAGGCCCTTTCCTTCCCTGTTTTGAGAGCATGCAGAATAATTTTTAAAAAATTCACAGTTAGTAATTATATGGTTTTTCATTTGGTTTTAGATCGGTATAATTTTAAACTTGATTGTCAATGTGGACCACCAGCTATCACCAGTCACATTGCCTGGACTCAAAAAAAACCACTCACAGCTGCATTCTGAATGAACTCTTTCTGGGCCTACTTCAGACCTGCACTTATGTGAGAACAGGAGACTTAATGCACTGAGGGCCTGGTCTGAATTCTACCCTTACTCTGTGAGCCACCTGAAGACCAGTGAGTAATTCTTGAAATTAATAATGTAATAATAATAGTAAGTCTTGAAATTATTGTATGTACTTGAAGTACAGATTAACTGATTGTGCAGTACTTTCACCAAACCATTAAAACAAATTCAATACTATTCTGCCCTGTAATCCAGGATAATATATAAAGGGAGGCACAGCACTAATAAAACCTGTGTTCAACGTTAGCATGACAGGAGAATTATAGGCCAAACAGACATGCTAAATTAGCCTCATCCAAGGCAGGTCGCATCGACAAATTGCCAGTTCCTACAAGTAGATATTTACTATAGCAATTTGGGCTGACAGCCATATTCACTGAAGCAATTCAGGTCAAGCATGACATATAAACTGACAATAGCAGGGATTTTAACTTTTAAGATTCAGCTACAGTAAGACCCATCCAAATCCAGAACTCGTCCCACACTGATGTATCCAGGTCATTTAAAATGTTTCAATGAAGGTGTTCATTTTAAACATTATCAGAGTCTAAGCATTAAAAGCAAGTATTGCCACCTAAATTAAAAAGTGGATGGCTGTTAGCATTTTTCATGTTTAATGAATTGCATTTCAACCTAAAATTGTTCTCTTATGCTGCAAAATTCATTTCAAAAATATGAATAGCATACTGCTTGAAGGCTACAATAAAGGTCATCCGGATCAAGTAGCGTAAGTGAGCAGAACAGACAGAGCAGTATTTCTAAACATGTTGAGTAAACACTTGTTAATTGCCACAGTTTAAGATGATCATATTATCATTAGTTCCTTTCATTTACTAATATATATGATGAAAGTCAGTCTTATCTTTTTTGGTAATATGTCTTTAGGTAGTCCATGTAGGTCATCCTAAAAATACATGGTGACATCATGACTCGATGTTCATAATGTATCATGTGACAGCCATGTGACACTACGAACCAATGGCTTGCTCTTTGAGCTCCCATTGTTCGGATGCAAGATAGCTGCTGCTCGAGATCATCTTTAATCTGCATCTCATGACCTATTCACATATCATAAATTTACAGTAATTGGTAATTATACTGCCAATTATTGATGTAATAACCGATTAATAACTTTGTACTAATAAGTTAATAACTTTTTCAAATAATGTAGTTGTGTTTCAAATGTGTCTTTAAATGCAGTTCTTCTTATGATTGCTGTTATTTTTATTGTTAGTAGTGACAGTATAAAACTATACAGATTGATCTAACCAGTACACAATGTAGTCTAAAAATCCCACACATCACATCTGTAAATCAAACTCTTGAATTTATGGTTTTGGCTTAATTGGGTCTTTAAGAGATAATGTGCTTAATAGAAAGTTAGCACATAGTTACATGTTTTTTTTTTTTTTTTTCTGGTAATATATTCTGTTGATAAAAAATGTATGTAACCTTCATATAAACACTGATGGAGCACTCTGTGGTTTCAGATATGTGTATTGAATGCTTTTTTTTAAAAGATATTTTTTTGGGATTTTTCCACTTTATTTGACAGTTACAGTAGAGAGGTAGACAGGAAATGCAGGAGGGAGAGGACATGCAGCAAAGGGCCCAAGCCGGATTTGAACCTGGGCTGCCGCGGCAAGGCCAAGGCCTTGCGTGGCATGCGCTCTACCAGCTGAGCTACCAGGGCGCGCCATGTATATTGAATGCTATCGAGATACTTGCAGTAAGACATTTAAGAAATCATTGAGGGGTGATGGATTGCAGTTTCCGAACAATGCATCCCCCATCTCTTCTGAAGGTTATGTCTATATCATCAGCTACAGCTGCTCCGGTTTCTTAATTAGGAGTCCAGTTTGGGGCTTCTGGGAGGGCCAGCTTGTTGAGACAGAGTTCCACAGCATGGATGTGCCTGCCTCTGTACTGAACTGTGACCATGTCGGACCTGGGGTTGTTTGTTAGCCCAGCAGACTTGCTTGTGATTGGTAGTGGCACTCCAGCCCTGCAGGCTGGAGTGTGATTGGCTATAGCGTTGCCCAGGGAGGCAGGGTGTAGATGGGCAGGACTATCCTTATGTCATCTGGCAGACTCTTGTTCGTTTGGCACCTGAGATCTGTCAGCAGCAGCTGCACATGAAGTGCACTCGGCTTGCAAACCGAGGAGTGAAAAGAACCACCAGATGGTGACAAGTGCTTCGCTTCGTGCTGATCTCTGCTCCTGTTAAGCTTGCAAACACAAATGACCACTTTTTTAAATGGAGAAGGAGGAAAGGGAAACACTAGAGTAAAGACTGGTTGTAAAATAAAATCACATTTCATTAATGGCCGTTCCCACAATTCCCTTATTTTACTCTACACTCTTGCATGTTAGATCCACTGTACCATATCAAAGCAGCACATTGTCTTGTAATAAGATCATTTTGTTATAACTAAAATAATTAAAACAGAAGTGCACGGAGCACTGCCACTGGTAGGTAAGAGCGACTGAGCTTCAGACAGGTGATTGTACACTGAGGTTAAAGTACTGCAGGGAAAGGGGAGTCCTGAACTACAGTACAATTAGCACACTAAGAATGGGTTAATTCAATTACCAAAGGGTTTGACTGGCAGGAAAGATATAAGAGAAAGAGGAGACAAAGATACATTAAATTCATGTTTATACAGAGAAGATACAGAGAAGGCTCTATTCTTGTAGAATCTTGATAAGTACATGAATACATATATGAATTATTATACACACATACATACATATACACACATGTTCATATGCACAGAGGCATACCAACAGAAATCACACTCAGGTCAAACTCTCCGTTTTCACAAATGTGAAACAACAACAATACTATATTTTCTCTAAAGACAGAATCCAGACTGTTTTGTATCAATCAATACCACTATGTGGCTGTAAAAATAAGATAGAGGAGCAGGGCTCCAAAGATGCCTGTCTGTAAGTCCTGAACCTCCAGAGCAATATATATACACCAGCAAAAACATAATTAAGATTGCGAATCCCAGGACATTTGGGATTACAAACTCGAAACTATTTTCAGTTGCCTGGCGACTGCAGATATCTTTTTTTACCAGAGAATGTACATCTGCAAGGAACTCATTTTTATGGTTGAGAAACTCTACATCTCCAGTCTACAAAATGTGAAGTAGGTACATTTGCAAAAAAAAAAAAAAATGAGAATCTAAATTCTCTCCAGAAACATTTGCCAGCCGTGCTGTGCTCATTGACAAAGCCATCGCGAGGCCCTTGTTATGAACTCGTGTTATCAGGAACTCTGCGCCAGAAAAGTCAGACTCCATTCCAGGAGAGTCCCACAGTGCTGGCTTTGGGCGTGTTTCACAACTTACTTACTTTACGTCACTGACTGGCTAAGGAATCTACACCCCATACGGTAGAGATGTATGTTTATTGTTTTTTATTATTATTAATTTTGACTGAATGGGGGGATCAGTGAGCATGTGCAAGCTAAGTGGCAGCCTTCTTTAGAGTCGATTTAAAAAGGAAATGAGTTGCGCAAGTGACCCCCAAACTCCCAGTGCCACAACAGCATTCATGACCACAAACATGTGTGAGAGTTAGCTGAGGATGCTGGATACAGGAATAATTTGGGAGGGAACATTGAAATACTGTGGCAACACTGGTTATTTCTGCTTTGTTTGCCTTTCTAAAGTTAGCCATCTTCATTTTTGCTTCGAGTTTCTTTTTCCTCATGGCGCAGCGTTTGTCTCGGTCGTTACTGTTCTTGCGGGTTTGCTATTGTCATTGTTCCAAGCTTTCTTTACACTTTCTGGGCAGAAAAGTTCATTTTTCATGTTTGATTAATAATTTGACATTTGTGTTTTTTTTTCTTCTGTGAAGCTATCACACTGGGATTTGCCACTACCCCAGGCATTGTCCCTCAGTGTGAACACTCATTTAAGCTGAGGAGGTCTACACACCTTTCCCTCAGCACAGGTATCATTTAAATTGTGTGCATCATTTTCAGTCAGCTTCATGAATACATACATATTACCCCCCTGACATTCGCCACATGCTCGATTGTATCCACAAGAAAGCCACATTACAATAATTTAAATGACTAAACCATTAAGTGGGCTCAGCATGCTAGCGCAGTTTTGGCGTATACACACCTTATTTGCATTATTGTAAAAATTACCTTCTTTCTCTGACCTTGCTAGTGAACCCCATACGCTTGCGAGCCAAACCTGGCGTACCTGTTGTTTTCAGTTAATGTGAAAGTGTTGTGTTCGTGTTGAGTTCATTTGCAAAGTGAGTCAGGTAATTGCAGGCTTATCCAACGTATACATTCACAATGCATTCAATGTTCGAAAAACAACAAGCATACTTAATGATCCTACAGCCTTTCTGTTTCTGACATTATCTGAAGGCACACAAGTATCACATTGAAACTCATGGTATTGCTGATATATTCTATACATGCTGGTGTAGTTAAAAGCTTAGAGACCTGACACTTGGACACTCACATAGACAGTCAGGGCATGGCTATTGTACCCCAGATCATGGTACTGACATTGACCTCAGCAAATGTCCAACAGTACGGACGGATTTGTAAGTTGCTCTGAATAAGAGAGTTATTTTCACTCTTTGTAAATTCCTAAATATACAGTGCAGTCTGGATTCAGGCAATTGTTGTCCTTAAACTTTACACTGATGTAACTGCAAGGGATAGTTTGGTATGGCCAGCAATCATAAATAAAAGCTCTCTGAGCCATGACCTTAAAGAAAGAAACAATACATTTACAGGTCAAAGATCAATAAATGATTGTTGAATCGAGGGCTCTGAGTCGCTATGTTGTTCTCAGTGGTATTAAATTGTCAGCAATGATTGGTGATGCAGTTGACAGAGACAGAAGACGATGAAGCTGTAGTGTTAAGACCACTATCCAGGGTGCTATAACGGGGGCTCTGTGCTGTAGGGTTAAGACCTCGGTCCACGGCGCTATAACGGGGGCTCTGTGCTGTAGGGTTAATACCTCGGTCCACGGCGCTGTAACGGGGGCTCTGTGCTGTAGGGTTAATACCTCGGTCCACGGCGCTATAACGGGGGCTCTGTGCTGTAGGGTTAAGACCTCGGTCCAAGGCGCTATAACGGGGGCTCTGTGATGTAGGGTTAAGACCTCGGTCCACGGCGCTGTAACGGGGGCTCTGTGCTGTAGGGTTAAGACCTCGGTCCAAGGCGCTATAACGGGGGCTCTGTGCTGTAGGGTTAAGACCTCGGTCCACGGCGCTGTAACGGGGGCTCTGTGATGTAGGGTTAAGACCTTGGTCCACGGCGCTATAACAGGGGCTCTGTGCTGTAGGGTTAAGACCTCGGTCCAAGGCGCTGTAACGGGGGCTCTGTGCTGTAGGGTTAAGACCTCGGTCCACGGCGCTATAACGGGGGCTCTGTGATGTAGGGTTAAGACCTCGGTCCACGGCGCTATAACGGGGGCTCTGTGCTGCAGGGTTAAGACCTTGGTCCACGGTGCTATAACAGGGGCTCTGAGCTGTAATGTTAATACCTCGGTCCACGGCGCTATAACGGGGGCTCTGTGCTGTAGGGTTAAGACCTCGGTCCACGGCGCCATAACGGGGGCTCTGTGATGTAGGGTTAAGACCTCGGTCCAAGGCGCTATAACGGGGGCTCTGTGATGTAGGGTTAAGACCTCGGTCCACGGCGCTATAACGGGGGCTCTGTGCTGTAGGGTTAAGACCTCGGTCCACGGCGCTATAACGGGGGCTCTGTGCTGTAGGGTTAAGACCTCGGTCCACGGCGCTATAACGGGGGCTCTGTGCTGTAGGGTTAAGACCTCGGTCCACGGCGCTATAAAGGGGGCTCTGCGCTGTAGGGTTAAGACCTCGGTCCACGGTGCTATAACGGGGGCTCTGTGATGTAGGGTTAAGACCTCGGTCCAAGGCGCTACAACAGGGGCTCTGTGCTGTAGGGTTAAGACCTCGGTCCACGGCGCTATAAAGGGGGCTCTGTGCTGTAGGGTTAAGACCTCGGTCCAAGGCGCTATAACGGGGGCTCTGTGCTGTAGTGTTAATACCTCGGTCCACGGCGCTATAACAGGGGCTCTGTGCTGTAGTGTTAATACCTCGGTCCACGGCGCTATAACAGGGGCTCTGTGCTGTAGTGTTAATACCTCGGTCCACAGCACTACAACAGGGGCTCTGTGATGTAGGGTTAAGACCTCGATCCACAGCGCTATAACGGGGGCTCTGCGCTGTAGGGTTAAGACCTCGGTCAATGGCGCTATAACGGTGGCTCTGTGCTGTAGGGTTAAGACCTCGGCCCACGGCGCTACAACAGAGGCTCTGTGCTGCAGGGTTAAGACCTTGGTCCACAGCGCTATAACGGGGGCGCTGTGCTGTAGGGTTAAGACCTCGGTCCACGGCGCTACAACAGGGGCTCTGTGCTGTAGTGTTAAGACCTCGGTCCACGGCGCTACAACAGGGGCTCTGTGTTGTAGGGTTAAGACCTTGGTCCACGGTGCTATAACGGGGGCTCTGTGCTGTAGGGTTAAGACCTCGGTCCACGGCACTATAACGGGGGCTCTGTGCTGTAGCAGCTGCAGGGTAATGGTGGAAGCTGGCCCCTTGCCATACAGTCAGTGCCATCTGGATGAATCGGAAGACAAAACTATTTCAAACAACGTCAACATAATTGTATGTTTTCCT